AATTCCTTTCTGCATGGCTAGTCAACCAGGATATTGAAAGTAGGATATTTTAATTAAAACAAAAACAAAAATCTAATTTATCTATTTCACTTTCATTCAATTTCAGTGCAACATTTTTTTTCTTAAAACCACATTACAATAAACTTATATGGTTAAGAAAAGTATATAGCATTTCCTACTAATGGCACTAGGGGTTAAGTATTTTGTAAGAGCTGTTGACTCTTCAAAAGGTTTATTGTTGATTATATGAATTCCAGTTATATCTTATCTGAATATTAAAATTTAAAATCAAAAAAACAAATGCAAAGAATATAATATGATCTCCCATCTGTTTCATGGATTCCCTCTCAACAAACCATTAAATCTAGTGTGTATGTGAATACACATGTTTATTAACTCAACCCTACAACTAAACTCTATAAAAACGTCAATCATATACATGTACTTCAGTGATTCTCAAAAAACAATGAGTAGAATCATTGGCTTATTATAGTAGATGTACATGTATGTATTTTAATCAGAAATCAATAAGAAAGAATAATACTCAAGTCAATGATAGAACGTATATCTTGTGAACTTTACTACACACTGTACATGTAAAGCTTGAGTACAGTCTAAGAAATTTGAACACAATAAAGATTGATGAGTTACGCTCATTTATTGACCCTGGCCTTAGTGTCTTTGAAAAGTAACTCAGTTCACTTGGTACATGTAACTACATGAAGATTACACGGTCTGGTAAATAATAATATTATTATTATATATAAACAAAGGAACACTTATCAATTCATAACACAAAAAATAATAATTTCACAGAAGTAGCAGCAATAAAAACTATTAGTGTGTTATAGTCATTTCCCACAAAAAAACAATGATAAAATCAGAGTCTTTTTCCATTGATCAGTTCAGCTGACTCTTTCACTTTACARACTTCTATTCAAYCCATGCTTTGTCTTTAGTTCTTGAATTTTAATTTTAAGGGCACTGTGTAAAATAAACTGGCATCACAAGCTAACTAAATTTATCTTAGCTTAAAACAATGTCAGCTTTCTTATCCAAAATAGTTTACACTAAGGATGAAACAATTTGGGAGTGGAAAACAACTCTAAAACCAATATGCAATAATGACCTTTTGAGGTTTATGCTCTTGAAGCTGAATAACAATATTGAATAAAATTATTGGTTGAGCTGGTATCCACATATCTTTACAACAGCATAGGAATTTAATCTACATGTAGTGGATAAAACTTCAAAATTTCACTGGACCTTGAGCTCAATTATCAGTTACAATTTCAATATCAATCCCTCAAGGATTAGCAGATTAAGAGTCTTTGGTACTAAACAGGCATTGTTTCTGGGCGATCTAATAAATGTTATCAATCCTAATTAATAAAATTCAAGTACATTGACAAATTGTTATTGTSAACTATATTATATGAGTTCATTTGAATGGATTTTGGAGTTGACTGAGTGTAGTTTTACGGTGACAGACATAAACATTGTCACTGTGGATGRCATTGTTGACAGAAATTTTTGAACAGTGAATCAATATGGTAATTCTTGAGTTAGGATTACATTAAAAGGACTCATTAAAAATCCTCAAATGCTTTGCAATACYTCAAAAGTTGAAATTCAAACACTTGTATCAAGKGAAAAGTAATTGTTATTTGTCTTTTTTTAAGAATTAAGAGGAATTCTGAGAAAAAATTGAATAGAAATGTCACAAATTGATAGTAATAAAACACAATAACAAAAATATCAACCAAAGAAAAATCAAAATAATTTAATGAAAAGATTGACTTTGTCTCCATGATCAAAGATCACAATATATTTTAATACAAGTGTAGGAACCTGTTTACAGTACCCCCTGAATTAACTGACTTCAACGTCATAAACTTGAAGGTTTTGTCAAAAATTCGATTCAACGAGTTTTAAATAAACAACCTCGGATAAAGCTGCTTGTCAAAAATGAACACTAATATGAATTATGCCTAAAAACGAGAAAAAAAAATGCTAGATAGGATTTTCCGTGCAAAATTCACCGGCATGTCAACTGGATTTCATCATTTAGCTTAGTACATTTCATTGCATTGTGATCAAGTTAATTTCTGAATTGCCWAGGGAGGAAGACCTAATTTTCACACTAAACTGGAACACAATTGCTTTAAAACGCCTCCATATTGAAAACAAAGATTATCTTATCTCCTAGCTAAAGTTAGTCATCAATTTACAATTCCGAAGGTTGAAAATAAGACTTACAAGCTGGGAGAGTCAACGATTATGAAGTCAAACATATCAAATCAACTCACTAAAATTAGCATGTAAATAACAGGTAATAGTTTTTAGAGCTAATAAAGAAAGAAAACTTTACTTAAGACTTACTATCTAAATGAGCGACTCGGTCGTCTATTACACATTGTTTTCGGTAGCTGTCTTCAATCGTTGGGTCGTAGTCGCTCACAAAGTGGGATTGAATAAACTGAATCGTCAACGCTGATTTTCCAACACCTCCACCGCCAACAACGACAAGTTTGTACTGCTTATCCACATCTTTCTGCTCCCTCGCCATGCCTGCAAGTTGGTAGCTTGTTACAGACTTCAAACACGGCTGTAAGGCAGCGAATTACAGCACATATAAGRCACTTTTCGCGATTGCTTGCTCTCTTGTTGAAGGGCGGAGGGTGCTCATACCTTACATAGCAATGCCCGATTCCCAGGGACAACCGCGCGCTAAATCGCCACGGATGGGAGGGGTGGAAGGGGAAGCTGTTTTTTTTTGTACATTACATTATTTTTCAATATTTGTGGGAAAAGGGATTTTAATTTACTAGTAACTGACAACTTTACCTGGGCGGTGGTGAATGCAAATCTATGTGAGCAACAAATAAGGATTTTTCTACTTTGTAATCTAAAGGAAAAGGTATTTATAGTTAGCAGAAAAGGCAAAAAGCTATAGCATTTTGCTTCAAATTTTAATYAGCAGGAGAGACGAAAGCCATTCCATTACTATAAAGAAATTTGCATTWAAGTTTAATTCTTTGTTGAAGTAACTCAGTGCTGGAAGCATATAATAGTTTACCTGGAATTCTTTCCACATGAAAAATGCAATTCTTAGAAATACCGGAATTTGAATGTTCTTTTGCTTTCCGAGGTGCAGATGTCAAACTTTCACATTGATCTCAACGCAGTGTGCAATGAAGACTGTTGTCCACATGCAAAAACAAAGTCCATTATATACTTGCTTCCTTTCTAAAAATAGCCAGTCATTTACATATGCATGACGTAAAATGACGTCAAAAATGTTTGTGTCGATGTCAATGAAAGTTTATAACYTGTTGCATACATAACAAAAACTAAATCATTGCGATTTTGCTTGTAATCTTTTTAATTTATTTCCCTATGWTCAGTTGTTCACTGACTATTAAATTTCTTGATGTGGYTTCCAAGTTGACGTTTGCACTTTCTATTCGGACGTTGTTCGGTCGGACCAAACTCGGGTTTTGTTCGGATTGATATCCCGGATTAACTACGATACCAAGGAATTGTGGGAGGGTTTCAAAATGGCGTTCAGAGCTTTTACAAYAGCTCAACTGGCCAAGAAACTTGCGCCTTCTAGAGCATTACGAAGTAGTATTTTCAATCAAAGATCAGGTAATTCTATAATATTTTTATTATATTTCTCAAAGACAATTTCTTGTTKTAGTTTTTAAATGGATTCGTGTAGTACAAATTGGAAACGAAGACGAGATTCCGCACTGGTCACAAACCAGATACAGTTTACATCATCTTTTTCCTCTAAAAAAACTGATATTTTAATCCTTTATGTGTCACCTTGTTCTAGTTTTAGCAAGCTATCATACAGCAAAATCAGATCCCCCATTGCCAACGCCAACTGACGACAACAGGAATGTTGTGAACACTGAATGGCCTCAGGATGGAATGGAACTTGGGGATTATCCAAACCTTCCTCACATTTCCTCTCAAAGAAGGCAGGCTCTTGGGTGGTGGGATCAGCAAGATAGAAGAAACTATGCTGAACCAGTATGTACTGGCTATGAATGTATAGTGGTTTAAGTWTTTAATTTTATTTTGTTTTTAAGACTGTATAACTTTTTGGGAGCCACTTGAGGTGAAATTTCCTTTCACTAATTATTATGATTTTCCTGGGTGGAGGGTTGGGGAGACTCCCTTTAAAAATTAGCGGTCATCAACTATTTGACCATTAACTGATCTTTTTTGCRAATCAAAATTTACAAATTTTTATCTCATGAAGAGAGATAAATACCTTTAGATTTTGAGAATTTTGTAAACAAGAGAGACTGCAAGTCAAATAGTATTTTGAGGTCATTTATCGACCGGCTACTGGTCAAGTAGGCACTTTGTATACTTTATCCTGTAGCAGCCTGTACAATTGCAAGGAATCTGTGCTCATAGAAGAAAACAGAAATCTCACAAGTTTATCTAAATTTGTTCATATTTTATCACACAATAGTCTCCTTCACGGTTACCTGCGCCATCTTGAAAGGTAGCCGTGCCTTGCCATCGAAGCGAGACAACCGTTGAGCGTGCAATGATAGAAACCTTCTTTCACACCTATAGACAATTATTCACAGGTATCTATCATTGCACGCTCAACGGTCGTCTCGCTTCGGTGCAAAGGCACGGCTACCTTTCAAGATGGCGCAGGTATCCGTGAAGGAGACTATTGAGGCCAGCACAGTGTAAAAGGAATTGTGAAATATGAGTTKTGTTATCTCTATTTCACTGTATTCAATTGTTCTCAATTGTGTAAGAAATATACAGAAATTTAGATAAAGCTTGTKAGATGTATCCCAATAACACCAGGTATCTCCATTTGCCAATGTACATGTAATATAATATTATCCTCTATTGTTAACTATAACAAATTTTTAATTAACAACATCAGGATCTCAGGTCATTTGAACATACATATTGGGAACTATAACCATCCATTGAGCAACCATACCCTTTTTTCAAGGGAGCTCCCCTCTGTTTCCCCAATAAATAGATTTACATTAAAAATGAAACAATTATTTTATGTAAGATAAAGTTTATATTATTATTTAATATTTTATGAATGCTGTTGTCAACAGGTTTTAGAAGAGGAAGATGCAGCAAACATCTGGATTTGGCAAGAGGTTGAATGCAATGATAAATACACCAGGTCTGTATATCATTTGATGCCCACAATGTCCTATAATCCTTAATTACCACATAGATGCCCTTATAGCAGTATTCTGCCCAGGCCGCGCCATTGTGGAATTCACACATGAAAAAATGAAATGTCCCATAAATTTAAACTTAATGTGCCTTTAATGGCACAAGAATTATCCAGGAATTACTTACTGATTGATTGCAAAGACATACAGTAAGTACTTTTTAAAGCAATAAAAGTCTAATTATATTGTCAATAAACATGGTGAAAATGCACACAAAGGTCACAAAAAAATGACACAAACGCGAACATGGCCGCCATATTGGATTCCACTTGCTGAAAAGATCTGACACCAATCTGTGTGTTAACTGACCTTGGTACTTGAATACTCAAGTATGGCTTCTCAACCTACTGAATGACCCCTATTTTGTGAACTGATGGGCCCTTTGACCCCCTGAAAGACAATCCTGGTCAGAACACTGCTGTAGGTGTAGTAATATTTATCAAATTCTTTTGATCATACTAAGTTGTATAAAATATAAACAGGATACCTTTATTAATAGATAAAATTAATTTTCTTTGTGGTAGGTCTGAAGCTCTGATGCACTTTGTAATTGCATTTGGCTTTCTTGGTTTTGTTTATTACTTGTCGTACTTATATGATGCTCCTTCCCATAATCCTGCAGTAAGTATTATACAATGAAATTTGCAAAATCCCTAAGTTTTGTTTCTAAATCTAGTGTAAATGATTTTTACCACTCAATTTTTTACCTCAAGCAAGCACTGAAATTTCTCTGAATGTAGATCTTTTTATATACATGTATTGTGAATAACAAATTGTGGTAATTGTCTTGTTAATACTACATGTAAGATCCTTCTCCTAAATATGGCCCTTTTACACCAAAGACGAAATTCTTCACTTAGTTGTTCGTATAGCAAATTCCTATTAAAGTGCCTATGATGCCTGAAAAAAAATTTCTGATTCTTTGTGAGCTGGTTCTATATAAAATAGATAATTGAATGGTGAAATATTCCTACATTTCAGTGTTGTGTCTTTGAGTTATGAAGGTTCAATCTTACAATATGTTAATGAAAATGACGTCAAAGAARGCTTCATTAGCTATACGAACTTTGCAGTAGTCGCTTAAAAATGGTTTCATGGCATTAAATTTAACGTATGCAATGTAGGGAATAACCACATTACCAGATGGCGTTCATGAAAACATTTTCGAGCGACTGTTTTAGAGTTCGTATATCTAATGAAGCCTCCCTTGACGTCATTATCATTAGCATATTGGAAGATTAAACCTTCAAAACTCAAAGACGCAACACTGAAATGCAGAAATATTTCACCATTCAATTATTAACTTTATATAAAATCAACTCACAGAGGATCAGAAAATTTTTTGTCAGGCGTCATAGGCACTTTAAAAGCTGTAGGGGCAGCTAAGTTGAAAAAATTCCTTATAATGTACAACATGCATAAAACCGATTTTTAACACCATTGTGATTTTCTCGACTTCTGATTGGTCGAGAGCTGTGTAAAATAGTTCATACCATGGTCACAAGGTTGTTTTTTTTTTCCTGTAATTGCCATGTAATTGTAGAATATTTTGGTGGTAAAAAACAAATTTATGGTATGTCCACTTAAATACCATGGTTGGCGACATTTTAACGACATTTTCTCGTGCTCTCTTTTGTGTTTGGTCAGCCCTTTGCGCAAGAGAATCTGTTGTCAAATAGAGCAGCGGTTTTTCGCTATGAATTCGAAACTGGAGTATTGTCTCTAATGACATCAATGCTACATAGGTTCCAAGAGAGTATCCCTTTAACAATCTTTACCTTGAGCGTGGAGGAGATCCTGAGAAAGACCCATCAGAAGATAAAGGAAAAGTTACTAACCCTTTGTTTGGAATGTAGAACTTCCCTTTAGATATATTGAACATTGTATATAAATTTGTCTTGAATAAAAATAAAGAGTCGTCCTGATATTTCTTAATTTGTCTTTGAAAAAATTCCTAACATGAAATTTGTGTGTTTGTTGTCTTGTTGCTGTTATTGTTGTCAAGATCTGGCAAATGATCCAAAGTAACTAAACAGTAAGAACTCAAGAAGCATCCATCCTTGATCTTTAATAGAAAGTTTTAGATTCACGTTTACTGCAAACGCCAAACGTCAAATTGGCTTTTATAATTTGTATCAAAATTTCAAACAAACGTAAAAACACTTCGAGAGGAATAGTGATACGCTTCTGCACGAAAAAGTGATCTACTTTATACACAATCGCGAAAGAACAAAAAACAGTGATCACTTGTTCAATTTCGCCAACGCGTATCTAAAACTCTAATTTAGTAGGTCTTCACTACTAATCTAAGGTGTACAGTGTTGAGCTGRGGTACTGCATAATTGTGAAGCCCATGACATTTTAACTAAATATAGAAATTAAAAGCATATTTACATTCTAGAAATCTCTCTACTGTAGTAAACATTTCTTTTGATTTTTCAAAACCCAGAAGGTTTAAATAAATTCTTTGGAGAAAAAGTCTCTCAACAGTTAATAAGATATTGTAATACTAACAATAGAGTACACACACTAAAACTGTGCAACATAAATACCACTAAATACTGCTAAATTATGCTAATTCTATTGTTTTCTATTGTTTAATTAACACCGTTTTGTAGTAAATAGTGGTAAGTGTTGCACACATTAAATGTTTGTACTCTACTTCAACCTTTCACAATTTTGTGAAAACACGGTCGTCACCAATGAGACAACCCAACACTAGCAAAGGTCTCAGTTTTAGTGTCGCATCATAGACCTTCACTAGGTTTTGAAGCAATCAAAGACGGATAACAGAACTGCCTTATGCAACAGATGGCTTGCTTTCCATGTGGGATGGATAATTATTCAAAATGTTCTGTGTTGCAGTAAATTGCGCATGCTTAATAGGGACTAAACTCAGCAGTTACCTTATTTGTCATTTTTCGTCATTTATCTCACTGCAATTCATGTTAATTTGTGTTGGAGTTTTATAAGTCGTTTACAACATTCGCGTCCGTGTTGTATGGGAATTACAATCTCTCGCCTGCGGCTCGAAGAACCAATGAACACTTGGCCAGATTTTGCCTTTATGTCATATAAATCAGGGGCGGATCCAGGATTTTCCTCGGGGAGGGGTGCGGGCCTCTCAGGAGGGGGTGCACCCCACAAAAATCATTACCATGAAGATACAAATTAAGGAAAGTATTGAAAGAAATAGATCTCAGGAGGGACCCAGCTGGATCCGCCTCTGTAAATGGATCCGAAAATAATTTCTTCCGTGACTTTGAAGTCATCACAATGATATTTAAGTCAAGTTTAAATTTCTTTGACGTTGAGGCTGTCCTTCATGAAAYAACGTTATCATGACTTCACGAGACGTCAAATTAAGATCAAGGCAACATGGCAACTACAGTACTGCACAATTCTCTATGCATTAATAGATAATAACGTACTGAAGCACGCAGCATATCCGTAGGTATAATGCAGGCAGCTAAAGGCGCAGCACTCTAATCTACATAAATTCACATGACCCACCCTGAAAAGTCATCATACTTATTCGAGGTCAATTGGGCCTGATGCTGACAAGATTTCAAAAGAATAATAAAGTTT